AAAAAAAAAAAAAGGTAATAAGCAATAGGTGAAATGAAACGCACCAAGAAAGGTGAATGATATATGTATTTATATATGTAACATATAATTTGATACAGGTATACACATTTATGTTTTCCCCAAAGAACAACAACATAAAAATAATTATTAAAATAATCAAAAACATGTATTTAAAAAAAAGAAAGCAGCAACATTTATATAGGCAAAGAAAAAAAAGCATTTGGCTTAGAAAATAGCAAACAACCAACCACAACAAAAAAAGTCACCGTTACCACAACAACAGGAAGTGTTTCCATGCAACAAAAGGCCGCTGTGAAATATGAAAATGAGCAAACAGTTCAGTGGCGAGTCAGAGTTGTAAAAGCCAGATTATTCCAGACCATTCCAGCCCAGCATATGTATGCATCCACGCACACATAGACTCATAAACAATCTTCCTTTCAACTCCATTATCAGTTAGTGACCAGATCCGCGGTGCTATCAGCACATAAAAAGTCTGACGTCAAATGATTAAAAAACCCATTCAAATGCATTCATTTGAATTACAACAGGCTAAAATTCACATAAGCATGAAGGCTGGACACATACAGTTGCAGCTGGGATCCATCTGGATTTATAATGTGGAATGAATGTTGACCGTTGACTCAAAATCCACAATTGACATCCATTAAAAAGACTAAAAATAAAACATTTGCCCATTTCAGATTCATAAAGCATCCAGATAAGGGTCTTTGTACATCTGACTAAGCAAATCCTCATCATTTACATAGATTTGTGTAATAAAAACAATGTGATTGCGTTGTCTTCAGGAGAGCCTGTCAAATCTTACACCTTTATGTTTTTTTCACCCAGTACAATCCTGCGAGTTTGCAAATTCCCAACGGATTCATTTGACACAGATCCACACAGTGAATGACTGGTTTTAGACAGCTATTAGCATAGGCAAAGCTTATTTACATGTTCTCTTGCAGGGCATCTAATGTCGGTTTCTAAATGACAGATAAAAGAAGGTGTTTTTTCACACATGTAAGTTTAATTAAGCAACTTAACGCTATACTAACAGTTTTTATTTAACCCACAGACCAGCACTAAACTAAGCACAGTAAAAACAGCATAGCAGAATTAACGTGCCGAAGAAAACAAAGACTGCTTTCCCAAGACCTGTACTGAGTCTCGCTAAACTTGTCGTTTTTGCAGTTGATTATCTTTACAGTTGTTTGTTTTTTTTTCTTTCAGAAAAGAAAGTGTCATGATTACCCATAGAATCACAAAAGGCGACTGTGTTTTATCGATGTGTCTGTGTTTGGTAAAAAAGGCACAATCAATATCAGAGCAAACAAAGATGAAATAAGTGGTTTCCTGTTTGTGGCTTCAACAGAAACTGCACTTGTGGCTGCAAAGACACGTTTAGAATTCATTTGGTGTGCTTTTCCTCTTCTTGGTTGGTGTGTCCCCTTGCAATATATGTTGTTCAAATGCAAAGTGATTATAGTGAATCTTTGAAAAGGGCGCATGTTTTATAACACACATCATAGCCTCCTTACACTTTCTCTTGTAACTCAAGATCCCGAACAAACAGAAGCACTGACACCTCGATACACGTGAAGATCGATTGTCAATGCGAACAGAAGTAACGTCCACAAGAAAAATAGAACCTCCAATTCCCAGAATAAAACCATCCTGATGATGTCGTCAGCTGATCGAGATGACATCATTGCAACAAATATATAAAAGCTTAGTTAAAATGACATCATAAGAAGGCTTTAATAATCTGAGCTCAAACTACAGTCCTTCAGTCCTATTCAGGCTTACGCGCCCATGTCCACTGATTGCACTTTTTCTCTCGTCCCTTTTGTCCAAAGCTGATATATGATGTTATGTGGAAAGGGAACGTTCCCTTTTTCCACAGACTAGTTTGTTGTATCTCATAATGGGCCGCGTTAAGTCCCTCACAGCGTCTGCTTATTTGCATAAGGAAAAATCCACACAGCATCCGTGCCGCTAAAACTTTCACATATGTTCAGGGGTCTTCCCAAATGACCAAAATTCCCAATTTTTCTTGGGGATCACGTTCGGAATTCTATAAAGTGTATTGTGAGGTTGAGATTAAGAGGCATTTTTGTGTGTTATCCCCTGGTGGGAACACTGGGAGAGAGATATTCTGGTGGGAATTACGGATGTGATTCATTAGACGCGGAAGGTGATCGTGAGAATGAGCTCTGGATTCTCTTTAAAGTTTTGCATATTCATCAGACAGTCTTGACACCACGGCAATGCAAGATTTCCAAACGACCGCAACAAAATGCTCTCTGAAAACAAACTCTTTGGATTTCGCCCATTGCACTAGATGTGAATCTTTAGAGTGCTACAAAGTTTCTGCAATTTTAGTACATTCACATCAACTCTCGACTCTAAGAATGCCCGGGCCTGTTGCCATGGTTACAGGTGCACCCCAGTCTTAATTCAAGACATGATGTCGTGTTTGGGAAGTGATGTCACATCCATTACGCATCCGCTTCTCTTTCAAACGCCTCGTCATTTGGCTTTTTGTATTCGCTTATTTCAAGCGACGTGTCCGTTTGTCCTTGAATAGAATGATTGCATCGTTTTGCAATTTCATGGCCGGTGGTTGATGTGGTACAAAATTCTATGTTTCTGTGAAGATATGATTAGCTTACACTCCCAACTGGAAAAAAAATGTTTTTCTCTAATAGAGTCTGGCAAAAAAGTAGGAAAGAGAGGAGTTTTTTTTCTCTTAAATGTGTGGTGGAGAAAAATCAGCCTTTTTTTTTTTTTTTAAGCTCGGCGATCAACTGGCTGCTGCAGACACACCTCACTTCCTGCCGAGATGATTGGCAGCCGATTGTCCATGTGATAGCTAATCAAGTGACTGACGCTCTCGAAGCGGTGGTCTTTGGTGCGCACCTAAAGAATTAGAATAAGTATTAACATGCTATAGAATTATATAATGTTTTATCAAGGACAAAATATTGAGAGTGTGGTATATTTCATAACATTACTCACCACTCCCTCTGGATCCACCAGAAGCAGGTGTTTAGGTTGGCTGCCCTGCTGTCCAGTGAGGACGTACTGGCCTGGTGTGGTGCCTGACTCCCGCACCAGGAAGTCTCCATCCTTGGTCAGGAGTCTTTCGGCCTGCCTGCGGCTTAGAGGTCCGTGGAACCAGGGCTCGTTTTGCAGCTGCTCTGCCAGAGGGGGCGCCACTGTACCCGACACGCCTAAAGCAGCATCAAATGGCTCTGAAAGACAGAGAGCACGATATTGGTGTATCTTTGGAGAATTTACACTCAGTTATTCTACAACTGCACCTATAACTGAACTACAGTAAACTCAAATATTCTCTTCAAAACAGGAAAAACAACTCCTCCAAAACATATATAAGGACTCTCCATACAGAAAATATATTGATATGTATCAAGTGTTAGGAGTTGGTAAAATTTGTATTAAATGTATTAAAACATTTTAGTAAAAATATACTGTTCACTACCTTTCAAAGATTTGGGGTAAGATTTATTTTTTTTGAAAGAAATTCATATTTTTATTTACCCAGGATGCATTAAATTGATCAAAGTGACAGTAAAGACTTTTTGCATTGTTACAAAGAAATCTGTTAATTTTCTTTTGAACTTTTTTTATTTAATCAAAGAATCCTAAAAAAAACTTAAGTCTTAAAATTATAATAATTTAAAATAATAAAAAAACTAATCAAAAACCGTGCAAATCATGCTTTTATTAATTTTGAACAGATCTTTACTGTATGCTACTGTTATATTAACGAATATGAATGAACATTTAAAAAAGTAATTGCTTTTATTATCATTCAGTATATTTTTACTGATTTTTACACTAAGGAAAAAAGTAAAATCTAAATTTTTAGCCATTTTAGAGCAAATACATGAATATCAAGACATACATCAGAAATCAAGATATTTTTCCAACCAAATACTCACTCATATCAAATGCATCTCTGTGAGCATTTCCATTGGCTGCTGCCGCTGGGAGGCGGGGTTTATCCACATTGACATATGAGGGGTCATCAAACAATCCTCCCTCCTTAACACCCACTGAAAGGGAGAAAGAGAAAAGAGAGGACGACTGTGAGGTTAAAGTGAGTTATCCTTCAGGTGAGTGAGCTTAAGCGGTGCCATTCTGAGCCCTATTGTCAGCAAGGCCAGCGATCCAGAAGCCACCTCTCAAAGGAGCCGTGTAATAGGTTTGGGCAGCGTCCAACAGAGAGCAATGAACAGTGACAGAAAAACTGCTGACTCACTCTGCAGAATGACAGTCTCAGCTGAGAGCAAAATGAAATGAAGGGAAGTGCGACAATATAAGACTGACAAATACTATGTGGCACTATGAAAGAAACAGGGCAGGGATTATTAGTGTGAAGCATGTGTGTTTGTGCAAACCTGACCTGGTAGCGGAGGCAGAGGCTGCTTGTGAATATCGTTCTGGCTGGGCTGTCCATAGGGCTGTGGAGAAGCAGTGAATTAGAGTGCTGACACATATATTAACCAGTGGAGTTTCAATGATTAACAAATCAGTGTTTGTAAATGAATCTTCACTTTTATACACTGAATCATATTTATTGTACACTGAAGTCTCTGTCTTTTGAAGACGGTGAGCTCTAGTTTGAACTGAGTGACTGCGCTGGTGGCTTTTCCAGCTTGTGAAGACTATAAAATGAGCCAATAGCATTCATTTGAGTATATGAAATTATTTTATTCAATTAAATAATATTGAATGATTGTATAAATGCAATCATTAATTATTATTATTGTTTCAATATTATTAATTAATAATAATGAATCAAATAATAAATATGAATTAAGTAATAATGAATAATTCGATAATTATTAATCACACACACACACACACACACACACACACACACACACAATTTTCAGCAACCATTAGTCTAGTATTCATTGGCATTATTATCATCAATGTTGAAAACAGTCTTTATCGTTTTTTATTTTTTTGTGGAACACATTTTTTCAGGATTCTTTAATGAATAGAAAGTTCACTGAACATAATTTATTTGAAATAAAAGGACTTTACTATCACTGATTTAATGCATATGTGTGGAATTTAAATTTTTAACTGTACTTACCAGAAACCTTTGAATTGCAGTGTATCATGGTTTCCATGAAAATATTGAGCAGCAAAAATTTTCTACCATTGATAATAATAAAAAATGTTTAGTGAGAACTAATTCAGCATTTTAGAATGATTTCTGAAGGATCATGTGACACTTTAGACTGGAATAATGGCTGCTGAAAATTCTGCAAAAGTCAGGGATAAATCATGTTTTAAAATATACTAAAGAATTGTTTTAAAGTTAAATAATATTTCACAATATTACAGTTTTTACAGTACTTTTATCAAATAAATGCAGACTTGGTGTACATAAGAGGCTTCTTTCAAAAACATTAAAATTTTAATTATTCCAAACTTTTAGCCACCAATGTGTATGCAAGCGTGTTCGGTTTCTTTATTGTAGAGCTTGACAAATGCTTACTCGTGCTTAGCAGTTCACACAATGGAGGAAAAATGAAAGATCTGCTTTGTTGCCATTTGTAAGGAAAATGATTCTTAAACACTTACTGAAATCTCTTTATTTTCATCCACACAAATTGTTATAAAGGATAATCAGACTTATTTTGGCTGTGAACGAATCAGTTCTTTTTAACGAACCAAATCCACTTAATGATTCACTCATAACACAAAAATACAGTCACTGAACAAAACTTGGTGGTTATGAATGAATTCAAAAGACTTAAAATCCCCAACACCAATGTTCACTAACATGCTTGTACAAATGTGTGTCTCACCAGCGTGGCTCCTGTACTGTGTCCAGGACGGGTCCTCATGTCCACCATGCCTCCAGGGGGAGGCTGTTTTCCAGGGAAGTTATTGTAATACGGAACCTCTGGGGGTGGAGGCAGGTCCTCTTCCTCTTCCTCCCAGGCCGACCCATCGAAAGGAGCCATCCTAAGAGAGAGAGATAAAGGTAAAGATAAACATTATGATATTATTATATAGAGAGAGATGCTGTTTGAGTGATGACAAATTATGTATTGCTTTGTTTTGATACCAGCAGGAACAGACACACACTCAATAAAAAGGAAGTAGGAACAGTAAACAAATAAAATACGCAAAAAATATAACTTTTTAATTAGCCTTTTTGGTCTCGTTTTCTAGTCAAAATTCCCACAAATCCTTAAAACAGGATACATTTCTTGAGCAGTGTTGTTTTACCATTTTATATATTTTTTGTTTTCATTTCAATTTTAGTTCAAGTTTTAGTCATTTTATTAGTTGTATTATATTTCTGTTAAGCTTTAATTTTTGTTTCAGTTTTAACCTGTAGTTTTAGTACCTTAAACTTATTTCCGTTAGTTGCCTAGGCAACAGTTCTCATTTTCATTTCATTCAGTTTTTTATCTAATATTTATACTTTATTTCAGCTTTATTTAAATTAACAAAATATTTTTAATAGTTTTAGCTTTAGTTAAAATCAGTGAAAATCAACATTGCATAAAATAATAATTGTTTTCATAAAATGTATGTAGAATATAAAGTATATTTGTATTATGTCATCTTTTTAGATATTTTAATTAGAAATAAGGCAAAAGCGTTCATTAGTAATAAGATGTTTTACAGCGTACGATGTGGGTACCTAGTGCAAATAGCCACAATGTCATGTGTTTCAGCACAGACCGTAAACGCATGCTGTAAACAGACACAGGATATAAAGGGGGTTTCCAAAGACCCTAGGGAGGTACCATCATTAAACAATGTACAAACACACTGACATAAATGTAAATGTTTGCAGCACTTGTTTGAACAGGCACATACCGATCATGAGGGGTAACCAGTTTGGGGGGATTCTTCAGGTACTGTTTAAAGCGGAGTTCAAAAGCCTGGCCGATGGTGCTGATGACCTCCTGAGCCAAGCCCTCTGAGCATTCCAGGATATGACATGCTACAAAATATCAGGTATTGTATATCAAGACATCAGTCATGGCCAGGAACAAGATTTTCCTTAAAGTGATAATTCACCCAAAAATGAACCCAAATCTTTTGGGTAAATAATTCCTTTAAAGCCATACTAAATAATGCTAAATATAATTAAGTAATTTAGTATTTAACATCAAATAAAACAAATTGTGCACGGAAAGCAGTAATTTACAATTCACTTACAGATATGACAGAACTCAATGCTAAAGTGTCATGGCATATTTTTACCTCTCTGATTGACAGGGTCTTTGGCGACGTAGGCAACATACTCTGCTGTATCCTGGGGAGAAACAGAAAGAGAGGGATGGAGAAGAAGAAAGGATGAATGAACAAGAGGACATTAAGAGCAATTAGAGAGTAGACACAAAGAACAGAGGGACAAGCAGAAGATAGTAAGTCTTTTAGTTGAGGATGTCTATTCACTAAAGGGAAGGAAACAGAGGAGGAAACAGTAGAGGGAAAAGAACAGATGACTACAGACAGATGAATAAGACAAATGAGCAAGAAATGACAGAATGAGAGTAAAGCTGATAGAACCAAGAGTAAGATGAATATGAGGAAATTAAATAGGGATGTATCTATTAACTGACTGATTAACTATATGTACATATTTAATCAAAATTAACGATCTAATATATTATATTTAATATTAAATAAAATTTAATCAATAATTAAATATATTATATATAATCATTAAATTATTATTTTCTAATTAAATTATTATTTTTTAATTGTTCAATTATTGGTTTAAATTTTATATATATATATATATATATATATATATATATATAAATTAACTTAAATGATTTTAGCAAATGGCTGCAATATAACAAAGAGTGAAAAATTTAAGGGGGGCTGAATACTTTCCGTACCCACTGTATATTCTAAAATGTTATAACTATTAATCAATAATCGTAATGAACAATTATTTAAAATGACAAAATGTTATATTCTATTTTTTAATCAACTGAATCACATTAATAATCATAATTAACTTACAATTTAATTATAATGAATAATTTAATGAATTTAGACAGACTCAGGCAACCCACCAACTAACTGATTTTGAAAATATGTAGTTTTGCACTATCAAGGTCCCTGCAGTGAATGCAATCATTATTTAAAAAGAAATGCTATAACAATGACTACATTGAGCCCATTTGTAAAGGCGATCCGAGGATGTATGTATGTTTTGTGGACTCTGGCTTTGCATGGCCATCCACTCAGCTAATTACTAAACAGATTTGTGCTACAGTTGATTAAATTAACAACTGATAAGCTTAATCGATGAAATTAACAACGGCGATCAGCAACCAATGATGAACATCCCTAATAAAGACAGAATAAGAAGTAGAAAGAGATATTGAGAGAATGTGCGACTCACTGGATCTCCTCCTGATGCAAAAGAGATGGACTGCATGTGATGGTTGGCAATAATCTGTAGGGAGAGAGGGATGGAGAACAGGACAATGTGACAAAAAAAGGACAAAAATGTGCAGTTGGCATGAGATGAAAATGAGCAAACATGGAAGCGACAGAGGATAAGTGAAAGCAAAGGATGGACAGAGAGGGAGACAAGGGGAGAAATGATATGGTGAGACTGTGGTCTAACATAGAGGAACAGAGCGGTTGTGTGCAGTAATTCTGCATGGTTTAGATTCATTAAGATAAACACATATCAGCAGGGCAATTACTCCAGGCCCTATTCTGGGCTCCAGTCAGCTGCCTGCTGGGCAGCCCGAACGCTGATAAACCTCACTGCGCTAATGCGAAACACTGGAATATAACTGAAGAATTATTAGCGAGGAAAAAAAAGTCCTGTGGTGCAGCTGTAAACAAGCCAGAGGATATCTGCTCCAGCCGACTACAACAAATTTATATAATCTATTGGGCCTCTGGGTAACACTTATTTAGTTAAATGTCGACAAATTTTTGAAGATTAGCCCCTTGAAATACCTAATGCAGGCTACTTTAAACTATTTCCACTTTTAGATACACAAAATAAAATAAAATAAAATAGAGATATAATTTAAGACCCCATTTACACCTGACATCCATCTTGGGTGATCTGATCAAAAATAGTCAGCAGTTTTAGTATTATTTATGTATTATATATATATATATTATATTATCTTTTATTTTGTTATTAAGTTTTAGTTGAATTTTTAGTAATTTTGCAGTAATAAATGAGTAATGAATTCATTAGTTAATTTAGTGATTCAACTTTGAATAATGTTGAATATAAGAAATGTTTTTCATCTAATTTCATCTATTTACATTATATTTTATCTCAATTAACACTTTTTTTTAGTTAAATAGTTTCATTTAGCTCAATAACTGTGATGGTCAGGCAAGACAAAACATTAATTTCTTCTGTGACAACTGTGATTGGACACTTGCAGTCTTACTGCATGTTGATAAAGTGGAAAAAAAAAAAGTGGAAAAAAAATAAATAATAATAATAATACATTTTGGCCACACAGAACCAGCCAATTTAGAACTCATATTTTAACACAATTTTATGATTTTATGACAAGTGAGTAGAAGGTTTTCTCAGCTCATTCAGCGCTAACAATTTGTGATTAGAGCCAAACTAGTGTTTATTAGGGATGCACCGAAATTATTCGGCCAAAAATAGCAAAAAAATAAGCGAATAAGCGAAAAGGCCGAATAATATGAACCGAACAATGACGAACGCGATCAAAATAGAGGCACGCGCTAACGCAGCAAACATGTCGACAGTGTGAAAGTATTTAAAACTATCAGAGAAAGATGCAGAAATCATTACAAGCGTAAAGCACCGACAGCGAGAGACTTAGTGCTGCATCAAGTCTCCGATGAGAAGAGGTGGCTAATGCTGGTGGTTAGGTTACTGTATGATGATTGAAATCGCGAAATTACCTCAAACGATTAGTAAATAAACTGCAGAATGTTATATTTTCTAATGCATGCACGAATTGTATGTATTCTGACAGCGCTGCACGAGCTCTTGGAGAAGGGTCTGGCTGCAGCCTTGCACTTTCAGACTTGCATTCTCAGACTTGCACTCTCAGACACTTGCGCTTCCGCTAGCAACGTCACTTGCAGTCTTTTATTTTTTTATTTTGTTCTATTTATTGATTACTTTTTGTTTGAATCTCTCAACATTTTACAACAGTAGCCAGGTGGTGAAGACAAGAC